ATATATATATATATATATATATATATATACTATATATACCGTATATATATACATATATATACATATATATATATATATATATATATATATATATATATATATATATATATATATATATATATATATATATATATATGTATGCATATATATATATATATATATATATATATATATATATATATATATATATATATATATATATATATATATATATATATATATATACAGTACATATATACATCGTATATATGTATATGTATGTATGTATATATATATATATATATATATATATATATATATATATATATATATATATATATATATATATATATATATATGTATATATACATATATATATATATATAGATGTGTATATATATATATACATTTATATATATGTATATATATATATATATATATATATATATATATATATATATATATATATATATATATATATATATATATATATGGGTGTGTGTGTGTGTGTGTGTGTTAAAAGCATGTATATATGTATATATGTGCATGTATATATGTGCATGTATATATGTATATATTTATATGTATATATATATATATATATATATACATATATATATATATATATATATATACATATATATATATATATATATATATATATATATATATATATATATATATATATATATATATATATATATATATATGTATATATTTATATGTATATATATGTATATATATATATACATATATATATATATATATATATATATATATATATATATATATATATATATGTATATATATATATTTATTTATTTATTTTTATATATGTGTGTGTGTGTGTGTATATGTGCGTCTTAAACAGACGACACTTTTGGGCTAAAAACACTCTCGCACACCAAAAAGTTACAACAGGAAGTGAAGAAATGTGCTCATCGGAAGTGAGGCTTGAGTCCGAAATACCGCGAAAGTGGGGGATCAGGTGGAGAGGCAGGCGTGGGGAGGGTAAAGGGGGGTCCATGAAGGCAATGCAGAGCTTGATGTCTGACGTCTGTGTCCTCAACTTCCGCGGGAATATACCATTGTCTTCCAGGAACTACGTTAGGATAGCTAGACATGTCATAATCGAACATTTCGATAAGGCGCCACCTCTCTCCCCTAATTATAGACCATCTCCCCTGCCGCCCATGGCCCGCACCCACGTGGCTCCTGTACACAAACAAGTCCCTCCTTTGGTCCCCCATACTCCTCTAGGCAGGATCCCAGGTGCTCGGAAGGCCTCCCCTCACGCCCGAAATACCTTCCCCCGCCCCGCACACGCTGGGTGGCGGCCGCACCAGGCTTCGGGACCGATTTAGAGCAGGAGCCCATAGCGCTCTCGCTGCATGGCGACTCCGATGGATGTGTGTGTGGATCTGAATATGATTATGCAGACACACACATCGCCGCTCTCATAAAATAACTGCCTAAGATTTTTTCTCCTTTTCGGGAAATCGAGAAAAAACTGTCTCCTTTTTAAAATTTTGAAGTTAGTGTCATGTTTGTTCTTCTATCTAAATGGCTGAATGACAAACACATTCACATACAATGACTTAGACGCAATTCTAAATCACCAGTACATTTGAAAATTATAAATACAATTTTTAGACCTTCTGAGATTAACCCCAGACCTTTTGCAACAGCAGTCACCCTGTGAAATACAAACTGAAAGGAACATACTCGAGAGTAATCATTTTCAAATCATTGTTTCCTTGACCTTCTGAAGGAGATTTCCAGACCTTCGGTAATTCAGAGTCTATGAAACAGAAAATAAAGGGAAAGTAATGTAACAAAAGTAATGTAATCATTCCCAAAACATTGTTTCACTGCACCTCTTCTGAATTATGATTATCATGTACAGCAACTAGAGGTATTTTCTCGTGAGGCAAGGTGTCTAAGAAGCTATGACAGTCATCTGGCATATCTGCTTTCATAGACTGTAGGTCACTGAATTTCCGCATTTTGATGAAGAGTCTTGATGGGAAAATGGGATTCATTAAATTTCCGTGGCTTGAACCCGGTGCGGCAGTCTACCAGATTGATTGAATGTTGAATGATAGGTTTTACTTGATGTTCCATCACTTTGATACATCAGCCCTGTAAATCATGAACCATTAGATCCCAGTCTTTTTCCTAGGCCTGATGCTGGTGAAGAAACTGCTCTAGATATTCAAGAAGTGTTGGTGTTTCATCTGTTTGACAATGCATGGTGCTGGTTTAATCCTCGCACCCTGGGTGAGCACTGCATATCCTCGCCTAGTGAAGTCTTCATTCACTAGTTTTCGTTCAATTGTGCTATGGTGTTATATTTAGTGGACAAACTGTTTTGATAAACGACACTTAATCCTTGAAATCAGAATTCAAAGGACATATTACTGAATTAGACCATAAGAATCTCTACATTTTCACAGCGTATATAAATATATTTACACATGTTATAAATCCATATACATATATAAATATATAAATGTGTGTGTGTATATACATATATATATATATATATATATATATATATATATATATATATATATATATATATATATATATATATGTATATGTGTATATGTATATATATATATATATATTCATATGTACATAAATTTATACACACACACACACACACACACACACACACACACACACACACACACACACACACACACACACACACATATATATATATATATATATATATATATATATATATATATATATACATATATACATATATATGTACGTAAATTCATACACACATACATATATATATGTATGTATGTATATATACATATATATATACATATTTTTTTTTCTTTTTTTTAAACAGCCATTCATTCCATTGCAGGACATAGGCCTCTCTCAATTCCCTGTTGAGAGGTTATATGGTAGTGTTACCCTTGCCTGATTGGATGCCATTTCTAATCAACCGCGGTTCAACTATATATAATTGCGCAGGCATTTTTATGACTGCCGCGACGGGGAATTGAACACGGGACCATGAGGGTCGGAGTCCAGTGCGCTAAACACTGGACCACACACACACGCACGCACACACACACACACACACACACACACACACACACACACACACACACACACACACACACACACACACACACACACACACACACACACACACACACACACACACACACACACACATATATATATATATATATATATATATATATATATAATCATCATCATGAAACGTTGCATCCCAACAACTTTCCTCCAAAAGAAACGGCACTGCGCCTTTCTAATTAATTGACTCATACTCATTCCTGTCAGTTCTTCGATATTATCTAAGTATTAAGTCTTGGGCCTACCTCTCTTACACACACACGTATATGTGTGTGTATAAATGCCTAGGACTGTCCTTTTCAGGCTTCAGGCAGTGCTGTATGCACCCGTAATGTTCGCATCCGCCGTCGTCTCGCCGTGCAACCCCGGGCGGGCGCCGCACCCGATATCTCCGCACCTTTCGCTGGGGACTGGCCTCCGGGGCCTCCCAGGAAGTCGCGCTAACGACCCGCTTCGTCTTGCAAAAGGAATTAAGCCAAGAGGAAGTTGTCTACCGTTCCTTGGAGAACATGCTCTCCGGAAACTTTTCATTTCATTCAGTCACTGCGACTATTATCTATATCTTTAATTTTTTTATTTAATTGCATGACATTGCATATTAACACAACCACGTCGACAAACCATTAAATAGGGGGAAACACAATAGCGGAAAAGGCGAGTAAATGCCAACAGAATACAGAATGACCTTTTCGAAATACGGAAAAATACAAATGCTGAAAGCAAACAAATAGGCTACAGTTGACAAGCACAGAGTAATATTCCACACTGAAAATTATATGACAATGCTTGCAGTGAGAGTGGTGAATTGCAACACTGGTGCCGAGAAATGAAAGGGTAAATATATCGAAAATCCACCAATATAACTACTGCATAAGACCTCAGCAGCGAAGGCCGTGCAGCTGCCGCCCACAAAGACAGGCAAGTGATGTCCTGTGCTTTATTGTAAATAGGTTACGTGGCGCACTTGATTTATGTAACAATCCATGTCGGTAGTGATGAACTGTCACTCTGTGAGTCGTACGAGTAGTGCGACCCTACGTTACATACTCTTAATATAATGGCTTGTCAGTAAGGAATTCATGGTTTGTGGCCTGAGACTTTCAGTTGGTGTTTACTTTAGAAAAAGAGTTCGAATCAAAGGAAAGTGCAAGTGCCACGGAGCAGACATCCTTTCCCGACCAGCTGGTAAACATTCTGCTATTTTCGTACTCCGGCAACACACGCGGCGGCGGAAAGCGGCGAAATGACGGTGATGCCACTCCACTGGCTGCTCAATATATTTGATGTTTTCCCTCTCTTGCGCGTTGTAAGCTTTCTAACACTGCAGATACTAGAGATTAATTCTAGAATTACCATTCGATTATCTGGCTTAAGAAAAAAATGTAATTTTTCGTGATCAAGGAGACAATGTAATGCCGATCCATTTCGAAAAGCTGCGATCACTAATGGAAGATTTCCGACGGCATGTGTGGCATTCCAGGTGTACAGTGCGCGACTTCCCAGCATTTAACTTTTTGCGATATGTAAAGGTGTCTAAATATTGAATTATTAAGCTTGCTATTCATAAATTCTAATAAAACTATAACCGAATAATACAAGACTGTCTAAACGCCAATCATTTTTTCTAATAAATATAACATTATGCCATTTTCATTTATTTTACATGGGAACTGTATTTCTTGAGGGAGAGGAAGAGGAAGTACTAGAAACAAACCGACAGGACACCGACGCAAAAATAAATGTGAGAGGAAGTAGGACCTCACCATCCATCAATCCCCCTCCCCCCTCCCCCGCATGCAGCACTCGCGGCAAGGAAGGAGGCGCAGGGAGGGGGAGGGGGGATCTGCGGCCCTGTCCTGGAGTGCCAGTCTCACACCGCCAGTTTTAGCGCCGTG